CCAACAGGCCAGTTGGTCCAACCGGTCCATCCGACCAACAGGCCAGTTGGTCCAACCGGTCCATAGGACAAACAGGCCAAATGGTCCCACCGTTCCATAGGACCAACAGGCGAGTTGGTCCAACCGGTCCATAGGACTAACAGGTCAGTTGGTCCAATCGATCCATATGACCAACAGGCGAGTTGGTCCAACCGGTCCATTCGGCCAACAGGCCAGTTGGTCCAATCGGTCCATAGGATCGATAGGCCAGTTGGTCCAACCGGTCCATGGGACCGACAGGCCTGGTGGTCCAACTGGTCCATAGGACCAACAGGCCAGTTGGTCCAACCAGTCCATCCGACCAACAGGCCAGTTGGTCAAACCGGTCCAATGGACCGAGAGGCCTGGTGGTCCAACCCGGCCATAGGACCAATAGGCCTGGTGGTCCAATCGGTCCATTGGGCCAAGAGGCCATTTGGTCCAACTGGTCCATAAGACAACAGGCCAGTTGGTCCAACCGGTCCATAGGACAATCAGGCCAGTTGGTCCAACCGGTCCATTAGACCAACAGGCCAGTTGGTCCAACCGGTCCATTGGACAAACAGGCCAGTTGGTCCAACCGGTCCATTCGGCCAACAGGCCAGTTGGTCCAACCGGTCCATTCGGCCAACAGGCCAGTTGGTCCAACCATTCCATACGACCAACAGGCCAGTTGGTCCAACCCGTCCTGTGGACCAACAGGCCAGTTGGTCCAACCGGTCCAATCGGCCAACAGGCAAGTTGGTCCAACCGGTCCATACGACCAAAAGGCCAGTTGGTCCAACAGATCCATAGGACCAACAAGCCAGTTGGTCCAACCGGTCCATTCGGCCAACAGGCTAGTTGGTCCAACCGGTCCATTGGACCAACAGGCCTGTTGGTCCAACCAGTCCGTAGGACCAACAGGCTAGTTGGTCCAACCCGTCCAGTGGACCAATAGGCCAGTTGTTCCAACCGCTCCAATCGGCCAACAGGCAAGTCTGTCCAATCGGCCAACAGGCAAGTTGGTCCAACGGTCCATAGGACCACCAGGCCAGTTGGTCCAACCGGTCCAAAGGACCAACAAGCCAGTTGGTCCAACCGGTCCAAAGGACCAACAGGCCTGATGGTCCAACCGGTCCATAGGACCAACAGGCTAATTGGTCCAACCGGTCCATAGGACCAACAGGCTTGTTGGTCCAACCGGTCCATAGGACCAACACGCCGTTGGTCCAACCGGTCCATAGGACCAATACGCTAGTTGGTCCAACCGGTCCATAGGACCAACATGCCAGTTGGTCCAACCGGTCCATAGGACAAACAGGCCAATTGGTCCCACCGGTCCATTCGGCCAACAGGCTAGTTGGTCCAACCGGTCCATAGGACCAACGGGCCAGTTGGTCCAACCGGTCCATTCGGCCAACCGGCTAGTTGGTCCAACCGGTCCATAGGACCAACAGGCCAGTTGGTCCAACCGGTCCATAGGACCAACATGCCAGTTGGTCCAACCGGTCCATAGGACCAACAGGCCAGTTGCACCAACCGATCCATTCGGCCAACAGGCCAGTTGGTCCAACCGGTCCATAGGGCCAGCAGGCCTGTTGGTCCAACCGGTCCATAGGACCAACAGGCCAGTTGGTCCAACCGGTCCATTCGGCCAACAGGCCAGTTGGTCCAACCGGTCCATAGGACCAACAGGTCAGTTGGTCCAACCGGTCCATAGGACCAACAGGCCAGTTGGTCCAACCGGTCCATTTGGCCAACAGGCCAGTTGGTCCAACCGGTCCATAGGACCAACAGGTCAGTTGGTCCAACCGGTCCATAGGACCAACAGGCCAGTTGGTCCAACCGGTCCATAGGACCAACAGGCCTGTTGCACCAACCGATCCATTCGGCCAACAGGCCAGTTAGTCCAACCGGTCCATAGGGCCAGCAGGCCTGTTGGTCCAACCGGTCCATAGGACCAACAGGCCAGTTGGTCCAACCGGTCCATTCGGCCAACAGGCCAGTTGGTCCAACCGGTCTATAGGACCAACAGGCCAGTTGGTCCAACCGGTCCATAGGAATAACAATCCTGTTGGTCTAATCGGTCCATAGGACCAACAGGCCAGTTGGTCCAACCGGTCCATATGACCATGAGGCCAGTCGGTCCAACCTGTTCATCCGGCCAACAGGCAAGTTGGTCCAACTGGTCCATAAGACTAACAGTCCAGTTGGTCCAACCGGTCCATTCGGCCAACAGGCCAGTTGGTCCAACTGGTCCATAGGACCAACAGGCCTATTGGTCCAACAGTTCCATAGGACCAACAGGCCAGTTGGTCCAACCAGTCCATTCGTCCAACAGGCCAGTTGGTCCAACCGGTCCATAGGACCAACAGGCCTGGTGGCCATTGGACCAAGAGGGCAGTTGGTCCAACCGGTCCATAGGACCAACAGGCCAGTTGGTCCAACCGGTCCATAGGACCAACAGGCCAGTTGGTCCAACCGGTCCATAGGACCAACAGGCCAGTTGGTCGAACCGATGCATAGGACCAACAGGCCAGTTGGTCCAACCGGTCCATCCGACCAACAGGCCAGTTGGTCCAACCGGTCCATAGGACCAACAGGCCAGTTGGTCCAACCGGTCCATATGACCAATAGGCCTGTTGGTCCAACCGGTCCATTCGACCAACAGGCAAGTTGGTCCAACCGGTCCATAGGACCAACAGGCCACTTGGTCCAACCGGTCCATCCGACCAACAAGCCTGTTGGTCCAATAGGTCCATATGGCCAACAGGCCAGTTGTGTGAGAATTAGAATGATTGAGTATTAGAGAGAACATGCAAGCTTACATAGGATAGGAGATCATAGGGATGTTCCTAGGCAAGATGCTTTTGCAAGGTGCTTGGCAAGATGCTTGGCAAGATGCTTGGCAAGATGCTTGGCAAGATGCTTGGCAAGATGCTTGGCAAGATGCTTGGCAAGATGCTTTGGCAAGATGCTTTGGCAAGATGCTTGGCAAGATGCTTGGCAAGATGCTTTGGTTGGGGGCTCCACTAAAGTGTGGATTAGCACTCCAACCAATGTACACCCAAAGGGGTGTATGATAATAGAGAATGTACAAGTCATTCTAGTCTATGTATGATATGAATAAAGGAGTATTCTAACACAACCCCTTTGCATACATAAGACGAGAGGACTTGGACAGGAGAGGATGCAACCCCTGAGTCAGCCACGGGAGGGGATCGAGCGAGGGGCAAGGCCAAGAAAAAGAAGAAGAGCAGAGTGCGTCAGGCGAGACAGTGCCTTGGTGAAGATGTCAGCGAGGTTCGTAGAGGAATCGATCTTGCGAACGGTGATGTGGCCGTCGTTGACAAGGTCACGAACGTAGTAGTGACGAAGCTCGATGTGCTTGGAGCGGCCATGAAAAACCGCTTCCTTGGTGAGATGTATGGTGCTCGAGTTGTCGCACCAGATGGTGGGGCATGGCTGAGGAGCACCCAGGTCATCTAGGAGGAAGGAGAGCCAGCGGGCCTCCTGAGCGGCCATCGTTACGGCGTAAAGCTCTGCCTCGCAGGAGGAGAGAGCGATGGAGGAGGAGCGAGTGGAACGCCAGCTGATGAGGCCGCTGCCGAGGGAGAAACCATATCCCTGACTGCTGCGGCGGTCGGGCTGGGAATCTGCCCAGGAGGAGTCACTGTAACCAGTGAGGATGGGGGGGGTGGAACCACCTAGCGTGAGCACAAAGTCCTTGGTACTGCGTAGGTAGCGAAGGACGCGCTTGGCAGCCCACCAGTGCTCTGCAGCATGCTTGCCAGACCCGATGAAGCGAGCCAGTACACTAATCGGGTAGGCAAGGTCGGGGCGAGTGCAGGTCATGGCGTATATCAGGGCCCCAACAAGCTCAGCGTACGGGTCAGAGGAGAAGGATGGGGAGGAGGGTGGAGCGAGCTGATGGCCGACAGGAAGCGGTGTGGAAATAGGCTTCGCAGCGGCCATATCGAAACGCTCGATGACTTTCTCGATGTAAAAGTGTTGGGACAGAGAGATAGTTCGTGCCTCCAAGTCCCGAGTAATCTCCATGCCGAGGTAGTTGCGGACCTCTCCCAGGTCTTTGCAGGCAAGACGCTGATGAAGCTGGTCTTTGACGGACTGGAGAGCAGCAGGAGAGTCAGCAGCCAGCAGCATGTCATCCACGTAGACGAGGATGTAGAAGGGGGAGGGGGAGGTGCGGAGGAAGAGGCTGGGGGCGGCCTTGGAGGGGTGAAATCCAAGGTCGCGGAGCGTGGAGGAGAGCTTGGCGTGCCATTCACGCGGAGCCTGTTTGAGGCCATAGACGGGGCGACGCAGCTGCCAAACAGTGGAGGGGTCGAAGGAGCCCTGGAAGCCCTCGGGGCGCTCCATGAAGATAATTTCGTGGAGATCGCCTTGGAGGAACGCAGTGGTGACGTCCATAGAGTGGAGTAGCAACCCACTTCGAGCGACGAAGTCCAAGAACACACGGACAATGGGGGGGGTTGCGGTAGGAGAGTGTGTGTCGAAGAAGTCTGAGCCATGGGTTTGTGTGAACCCTTTGGCGCAGTAGCGAGCTTTGAAGACGGGAGACTCGCCGGGGAGCAGCTTCACCCTGAAGACCCATTTGCCTTTGACGACGTTGGACGAGTGGGGGCGGGGAACGTCGATGAAGGTGCCGTTGTGGATGAAGGAAGATGTCTCTTTGGCCATTGCCTCGATCCAAAGAGGGGCATCGAGACAGGCGATGGCTTCCTCATAGGTTGAGGGCTCGAAGACGGTAGGCACCCCAGAGAAGAGAAGGACTGGGGCGCCAGTCAAGGTGCGGACGATGGGGGCATGGGAGGGTTGATAGAGGTGGAGGAGGAGAAGCTCATCGTGAGTGTCCTCAGAGAGGAGGGGAGAGATGGGAGGAGGAAGAGAGGGGGGTGGTGGAGTTGCAAGACTGCTGCGCAGAGAGAGGTCGCGGCTGGGACGCTGTTGTGCTGTTGTACTGCGGCGCGGCTGCTCGGCTACACTGCGCCACGGCTGCGTAAGAGCGCTGGTGCGGGCGGCCGGGGAAGGGTGAATCTGCAGGCGAGGAGGATGTGTACTGGGGGGAAGGGTGGGGATAGTGAGGGGGGGAAGGAGGGAAGTGCAGGACAAGGTATGTGGAGGGGGGGGGGGGGACCAAGGGAGCGAGTGTGGGGGCGGGAGCAAGGGGGGGGGGGAGCACGAAGGGGGGAAGTTGGGTGAGTCGAGGGAGGGGGAGCGGAGGAGGGGGGAGGAGAGGGAGTGGGGAAAATGGGGGGGGGAGCCGTGGAGTGGGAGGGGGAGGGGGGGAGTACAGGGTCGAGGATGTCCCCGGATGAAAACCAAAGACATAGGACCAACAGGCCAGTTGGTTCAACTGGTCCATAGGACCAACAGGCCAGTTGGTCCAACCGGTCCATTGGACAAACAATCGAGTTGGTCCAACTCGTCCATTGGACCAATAGGCCAGTTGCTCCAACCGGTCCATTGTACCAATAGGCCAGTTGGTCCAACCGGTCCATAGGGCCAACAGGCCAGTTGGTCTAACCGGTCCATACGGCAGAAGGCCAGTTGGTCCAACCGGTCCATAGAACCAACAAGCCAGTTGGTCCAACCGGTCCATTCGGCCAACAGGTCGTTTTGTCCAACCGGTCCACAGGGCCCACGGGCCAGTTGGTCCAACCGGTCCATTCAGCCAACAGGCTAGTTGTTCCAACCGGTCCATAGGACCAACAGGCCAGTTGGTCCAACCGGTCCATTAGGCCAACAGGCCAGTAGGTCCAACCGGTCCATAGGACCATCATGCGAGTTGGTTCAACCGGTCCATAGGACCAACAGGCCAGTTGGTCCAACCGGTCCATTGGACCAACAATCCAGTTGGTCCAACTGGTCCATTGGACCAATAGGCCAGTTGGTCCAATCGGTCCAAAAGACCAACAGGCCAGATGGTCCAACCGGTTCATTGGGCCAACAGGCCAGTTGGTCCAATCGGTCCATAGGACCAACATGCGAGTTGGTTCAACCGGTCCATAGGACCAACAGGCCAGTTGGTCCAACCGGTCCATTGGACCAACAATCCAGTTGGTCCAACTGCTCCATTCGGCCAACAGGCCAGTTCGTCCAACCGATCCATAGGACCAACAGGCCAATTGGTCCAACCGGTCCATTCGGCCAACAAGCCAGTTCGTCCAACCGATCCATAGGACCAACAGGCTAGTTGGTCCAACCGGTCCATTCGGCCAACAGGCCAGTTGGTCTGTCCGGTCCATAGGACCAACAGGCCAGTTGGTCCAACCGATCCACAGGACACATGCCAGTTGGTCCAACCGGTCCATTGGACCAACAATCCAATTGGTCCAACTGTTCCATTTGGCCAATAGGCTAGTTGATCCAACCGGTCTATTGGGCCAACAGGCCAGTTGGTCCAACCGGTCCATAGGACCAACATGCGAGTTGGTTCAACCGGTCCATAGGACCAACAGGCCAGTTGTTTCAACCAGTCCATTGGACCAACAATCGAGTTGGTCCAACTTGTCCATTGGACCAATAGGCCAGTTGCTCCAACCGGTCCATAGGGCCAACAGGCCAGTTGGTCTAACCGGTCCATTCGGCAGAAGGCCAGTAGGTCCAACCGGTCCATAGAACCAACAGGCCAGTTGGTCCAACCGGTCCACAGGGCCCACGGCCCAGTTTGTCCTACCGGTCCATTCAGCCAACTGGCTAGTTGTTCCAACCGGTCCATAGGACCAACAGGCCAGTTGGTCCAACTGGGCCATTGGGCCAACAGGCAAGTTGGTCCAACCGGTCCAAAGGACCAACATGCGAGTTGGTTCAACCGGTCCATAGGACCAACATGCCTGTTGGTCCAACCGGTCCATTGGACCAACAATCCAGTTGGTCCAACTGTTCCATTTGGCCAATTGGCCAGTTGGTCCAACCGGTCCATAGGACCAACATGCGAGTTGGTTCAACCGGTCCATAGGACCAACAGGCCAGTTCGTCCAACCGGTCCATTGGACCAACAGGCTAGTTGGTCTAACCGGTCCATTCGGCAGAAGGACAGTTGGTCCAACCGGTCCATAGGACCAACAGGCCAGTTGGTCCAACCAGTCCATAGGACCAACAATCGAGTTGGTCCAACTGGTCCATTGGACCAATAGGCCAGTTGGTCCAACCGGTCCATTGGACCAACAGGCCAGTTGGTCCAACCGGTCCATTCGGCCAACAGGCCAGTTGGTCCAACTATTCCATAGGACCAACAGGCCAGTTGGTCGAACCGGTCCATCCGACCAACAAGCCAGTTGGTCCAACCGGTCCAATGGACCGAGTGGCCTGGTGGTCCAACCCGGCCATAGGACCAACAGGCCTGGTGGTCCAACCGGTCCATTAAGCCAACATGCCATTTGGTCCAACTGGTCCATAGGACAACAGACCAGTTGGTCCAACCGGTCCATAGGACAACAGGCCAGTTGCTCCAACCGGTCCATAGGATCAACAGCCCAGTTGGTCCAACCAGTCCATTCGATCAACAGGCTTGTTGGTCCAACCGGTCCATAGGACCAACAGGCCAGTTGGTCCAACCGGTCCATTGGGCCAACAGTCCAGTTGGTCCAACCGATCCATTGGACCAACAGGCCGGTTGGTCCAACCGGTCCATTGGACTAACAGGCCAGTTGGTCCAACCGGTCCATAGGACCAACAAGCCAGTTGGTCCAACCGGTCCATTAGACCAACAGGCCAGTTGGTCCAACCGGTCCATTGGACCAACAGGCCAGTTGGTCCAACCGGTCCATTCGGCCAACAGGCCAGTTGGTCCAGCCGGTCCATTCGGCCAACAGGCCAGTTGGTCCAACCGGTCCATAGGACCAATATGCCAGGTGGTCCAACCGGTCCATAGGACCAACAGGCCAGTTGGTCCAACCGTTCCATATGACCAATAGGCCAGTTGGTCCAACCGGTCCGTTCGGCCAACAGGCAAGTTGGTCAAATCGGTCCATAGGACCAACAGGCCAGTTGGTCCAACCGGTCCATAGGACCAATATGCCAGGTGGTCCAACCGGTCCATAGGACCAACAGGCCAGTTGGTCCAACCGTTCCATATGACCAATAGGCCAGTTGGTCCAACCGGTCCGTTCGGCCAACAGGCAAGTTGGTCAAACCGGTCCATAGGACCAACAGGCCAGTTGGTCTAACCGGTCCATAGGACCAACGGGCTTGTTGGTCCAACCGGTCCATAGGACCAGCAGGCCTGTTGGTCCAACCGGTCCATAGGACTAACAGGCCAGTTGGTCGAACCGGTCCATTCAGCCAACAGACCAGTTGGTCCAACCGGTCCATAGGACCAACAGGCCAGTTGGTCCAACCGGTCCATAGGACCAACAAGCCAGTTGGACCAGCCGATGCATAGGACCAACAGGCCAGTTGGTCCAACCGGTCAATCCGACTAGCAGGCCAGTTGGCCCAACGAGTGCATAGGACCAACAGGCCTGTTGGTCCAACCAGTCTATAGGACCAACACGCCAATTGGTCCAATTGGTCCATTCGGCCAACAAGCTAGTTGGTCCAACCGGTGCGTAGGACCAACAGGCCTGCTAATCCAACCAGGCCATTGAACCAACTCATCAGTTGGTCCAACCGGTCCATAGGACCAACATGTCAGTTGGTCCAACCAGTCTATTAGACCAACAGGCCAGTTGTCCAACCGGTCCATTCGGCCAACAGACCAGTTGGTCCAACCAGTCCATATGACTAACAAACCAGTGGTAGAACCAGTCCATTGGACCAATAGGCCAGTTGGTTCAACCGGTCCATTGGACCAATAGGCCAGTTGGTCCAACCGGTCCATAGGACCAACAGGCCAGTTGGTCCAACCGGTCCATAGGACCAACAGGCCAGTTGGTCAAAGCGGTCCACCAACAGGACTGTTGGTCCAATAGGCCCCTTCGACCAACAGGCCATTTGGTCCGACCGGTCCATAGGACCAACAGGCCAATTGGTCCCACCGTTCCATAGGACCAACAGGCCAGTTGGTCTAACCGGTCCATTCGGCCAACAGGCCAGTTGGTCCAACCGGTCCAAAGGACCAACAGGCCTGGTGGTCCAACTGGTCCATAGGACCAACAGGCCAGTTGGTCCAACCGGTCCATATGACCAACAGGCCAGTTGGTCAGACCGGTCCAAATGACCGACAGGCCAATTGGTCCAACCGGTCCATACGACCAACAGGCCAGTTGGTCCAACCGGTCCATAGGACCAACAGGCCAGTTGGTCCAAACAATCCAAAGGACCAACAGGCCTGGTGGTCCAACCGGGCCATTGGACCAACAGGCCAGTTGGTCCAACCGGTCCATAGGACCAACATGCCAGTTGGTCCAACCGGTCCATTCGGCCAACAGGCCAGTTGGTCCAACCGGTCCATAGAACCAACAGGCCTGTTGGTCCAACCGGTCCATAGGACCAACAGGCCAGTTGGTCCAACCGGGCCATTGGACCAACATGCCAGTTGGTCCAAACAATCCAAAGGACCAACAGGCCTGGAGGTCCAACCGGGCCATTGGACCAACAGGCCAGTTGGTCCAACCGGTCCATAGGACCAACATGCCAGTTGGTCCAACCAGTCCATTCGGCCAACAGGCCAGTTGGTCCAACCGGTCCATAGGACCAACAGGCCAGTTGGTCCAACCGGTCCATAGGACCAACAGGCCAATTGGTCCAACCGGTCCATCCGACCAATAGGCCAGTTGGTCCGTCCATACGACCAACAGGCCTATTGGTCCAACCGGTCCATACGACCAACAGGCCAGTTGGTCCAACCAGTCCATAGGACCAAGAGGCCAATTGGTCCAACCGGTCCATAGGACCAACAGGCCAGTTGGTCCGACCGGTCCATACGACCAACAGGCCAGTTGGTCCAACCCGTCCATATGACCAACATGCCAGTTGGTCCAACCAGTCCATTCGGCCAATAGGCCAGTTGGTCCAACCGGTCCATAGGACCAACAGGCCTGTTGGTCCAACCGGTCCATTCGGCCAACAGGCCGGTTGGTCACACCCGTCCATAGGACCAACTTGCCTGTTGGTCCAACCGGTCCATAGGACCAACAGGCCAGTTGGTCCAACCGGTCCATAGGACCAACAGGCCAATTGGTCCAACCGGTCCATCCGACCAATAGGCCAGTTGGTCCGTCCATACGACCAACAGGCCTATTGGTCCAACCGGTCCATACGACCAACAGGCCAGTTGGTCCAACCAGTCCATAGGACCAAGAGGCCAATTGGTCCAACCGGTCCATAGGACCAACAGGCCAGTTGGTCCGACCGGTCCATACGACCAACAGGCCAGTTGGTCCAACCCGTCCATATGACCAACATGCCAGTTGGTCCAACCAGTCCATTCGGCCAATAGGCCAGTTGGTCCAAC